CTTGCGAAACGCCATCAAGACCAACTCGAGCAACTTGATAAAGAAGCTGCTCGGGCGTTGGAACAGGAAGAAGCTAATTTCAGGGAAGATCAGTTGTCTTCTAAACCGGCGTCTTTGGTCTAGCTACAGCTAAGGTATGCACTGTTTTTGATTTCGGGGCAGTTCAGCGACGGCGGGGGGCATTCTGTGCTTTTGCTACTTCCGATCGACTTGTCGACCCATCTAGAGGGCTCTCTCTCTCATGAGTTTACAAGAGTTGACGGGTTTTACCATAGTAGTCCGATGAACTTGCTCTAGCTTCACAAGTGTTCACATGATTTAGCAGAGTGAGACTTGTAAACCGGAACTAGCGAAGCAGAAGTGAGAAATGCTCCCTCGTAGCCGAACTGCGTCTTATATGTTTTGTATATGCGAATGCTGACGCCAAACGCAGTTCGGCTGGTGTGGGCAGCGCGAATGGTGACAGACTAAACTTGTACAGACCCTTGTGGAGAACTGTATGTTTCTGTGACCAAAAAGGCTCACTCGGGGATTTTCATACTTTACAGAAGGTTTGCAGATCTCACCAGTGGGACCTGCAAACTGTAAAGCTGTGGAAGTCTGGCGAGTGAGTTGACATGTACTAACAAAAAAGAACTAGCCAAAGTGCAGAGTGCCCCTCCAAGCCGAACAGCGCCCTGACGCTATTCTGATGTAATGGGGATATTAAAATAATAACCTCGACAAATTCTCGATGTGCTTGTCGAGCGCATCGAGAATTTGTCAACTGGAGCAACGGACTCATGTGAGTCCCTGCGAAGAGAAGACTATGACGGCGATATAGAATTTTCCTGTCCCTCCAATAATCAGATTCGAATGGTCGGACAGGAAAACTCGTCCGGATTGCACAACGTCGCTCGCCATGCCCATCAGCGTGGCATTTTACGATCAGACGACGTCGTACGTTGGGGAATCCTCAGCAGGGGATGGGAGAGGGGAGGGTCGTGTTCGTCTGAGAAATTTTTTTAATAATTTCTTTTCTTCGACGGACGCTATAAGGAGGAGAGGTCGTATTTGCCTTTGAGAGAAATTTGCGATGTTGGGAAAAGTTTTTTCTTAGTTGTTGACTTTTCACGGTTTCCCTCCCCCCCCCCCACCTCCAAGGTTGGCAGCGGAATTTTGGAAAAAAAATAGAAAAATTTCGGGAAATTTTTGAAAAAATCATGAGAAGTTGGGGAAAAATCCAGGAACATGGTAGGTAAGATGGGGAAGGGGTATCGTAGCAGGGTTACGTGACAACAAAAACTTTCAGTGGTGGTCCTGCTGAGAAAGGTCAGAGCGCAGAGAAAGAAAGAACTCCGGCTCCCAGGACATCAATAGGCACAAAAACATGTCACGAGCCAGGAGATGAGCATTTTTTCGAGGGAGAGGAAATCAGGGTGGATGAGCATTCAATTTGCGTGAAAAATTAGAATGCGAAAGGTCATTTCCCCAGACTTGCTCTGATTACGATTGTCTTGTCACATACCCACTCGTGCTGCGTGATTTACTCCCGAACTGCCTTGAGGCTGGCTCGTATTTAGATCTGAAGAATTTTTGCAGAATTGGGATTACCATAGTCTGAGGATCTGTCGCCCAAAATGACCTTTCATATTGAATTGGCGCCCGAATGCTTTGTATGCGCATGCTTTATTTTTCAGTACTTTTCCATTTCAGACGTACTTTGACTCCAAGGTTGCATCATCTGTGATTTTTGAAGTTCGGCATCGAATGCTCACTGTCGTATGGTCTCTTTTTATGTCAATTTGTTGTGCGTTGTTATTCTTTTTTGTTCCTCGCCTACTTATCTCTTTTGTTTATTCTATTATCAAGTTTTTAATGCGCTCAAGGCGCTTCTCTCTATTAATGGTTTTAAATTCTGGGTTGCAATTCCCTTTAAAACATCTTCCCTGTCTTTAAGAAAATTGTTCTATTTCTATTGTATTAGTAGCGCTTGTGAAATTGTTGTGATAGAATTTTGCAGAGCAGAAAGGCTGGTATAAATACACATGCACATGCAATGCATAGCCATTCCAAATTCATGCACTACTAGGGCAGTGTTCAGACTTTGCGATGACGCGCGTCGACGCGCTGTAACGCGCTGTGACGCACGACAGCGCGGTGCTATTACAGCAGCGCTCTAAAGCTATGGACGCGAACGCAGCCGCAGACGGCGCCAGCTTCTAATCTGCGAACACACAATCGATAGGCGCCGGGCGCTGCCTAGTTACACGCACTGGTATCGATTGGCGCCGCCTATCTGCGGATGCGTTCGCGTCTGTAGCTTTGGAGTGCTGTTGTAATTGTAGCGTGTCAACGCGCGTTGAACGCATTACAGGGTGTGGCGCGCATTGCTGCGCGTCGACGCGCGTCATCGCGAAGTCCACGTACTGCCTACTTCTTCTTTTTTCGGTCATCTTCGGTGGTTCTCTCCCTCTAATCTTGTTGAATGTGACATTTACGTTCTCGTCTCATACACTGCTTCAGGCGCTTGTGATTAGCCAAACTTTGCCCTATTCCGGTATGTTTCTGTGACATTTTTCACGTTTGTACGTGGTCGATGATGATCAGAGATGTTCTCGTAGTAATCGATTGATTAATATTCCTTCACGGGATCTTCACTTTACCAGTTTTCATATGCATCCCAGCCATTCAATCATTCCATCAATCTTTACATAGGTGATTATTAAGCTACTTATTAGCATGTTCGCTGTTTTCTCTCATGTTCAGCAGCAGGATTTTTTGTGTATAATTAATTAATTATATGACGATGAGATTGTTCATAGAAAGATTTATGAGCGCTATGTCAAAACGGTTAAATACACGTATATTATAATTTTGTACGTTGTGTCGATTTTTTTCTTAGTCTGAACAACAAAATAATAATAAAATAATGAAAATAGTACATGACAGTACTTGTGCTGGTGCTAATAAGACGGGACACGAGCGACTCTGTCGCGAGTTAAAGGCATAGGGCACGATAATTTGGTACTCTGTTTAATGGTAGCAGGGGTGCTATGTAGTGAGAAAATGGCGAAAAGCGAAGTGAAACGGTCAAAAACCTGCAAAAAAGCCTTTGTTCTACACGACTCAGAAAGTGATTTTGGACGAGTTCCCGTTGGCATCGTGCCAATAACCGCTACGGTAAATATGTACTCATACATCCATGCAGGCACCGCAACCGCTTCATGTAAATCCCTTCGCTTCATAGAAATCGGTCGGACATTTGTGGGCGGGCCTGAGCGGTGGGCGTCCGGTATGTCATAGCTCAATAGGGCGCTCCAAAGGTACCTCTTTGGAAAGGCGTTACGCAGCGTCTCTCAGAGGCGTCAAATACTGTCTACACTTCTTGGGGATTTATGGTGCTACCTGTCTTTGAGGCAGTGTTCAGACTTTCGGTGGCGCGTCGACAAGCGTCATCGCGAAGTTTCAATGCTGCCTGACAAACTCGCGCCCTTTCGTCGCACGCAGCGAGTCGCGCGGCAATGTCAGAGTTATACCACCATGTACTACCAGTAGTTTTTGGAGCAGGGGATTCGCTCTGCATGGCGTTGCCGAGTAAGTGCTATGGGACGGATCCCTTTCGTATTTCGAACGAGCTCCGAAGCAACAGAGTTTGTAGGCAAAGGTGGCGGCGCTGGAGACCACGCAGCATCGCGGCGAGTACGGTAAACTGCGATAGGACTGCCACATCGAAAAACAGGAAAAATGGTACTCTTGTTACGGCGCGAAGACATCAGTGGATTCTTTGGGGTGAAATTGCTTCTATCACAACTTATGTAACACACACAAATTTGACAACCGCAGCTATTAAGGCTGGGGTATAACATCGGTGGTAGAATCCCATCAGGGTATCGTATTTGGCTGCTCAAAAGAGGTGTCATATTTGCCTTTGGAATTTCCGTTCCGAACCACTGGAAGTTTTTTCCGGTTCTGCACTATTCACTTTCCTGGTTTTTTTTCTGGGTGATATTTGGCTTGATAGAAATTTTCCCGGATCGGTCGGGCAAAAATTTTCCGTTTGGCGTCTCAGATAATGCTTCACAACAACCATTCCTGACAATCGATAATTAGCTCCTTAAACACGACCTCCGCCACACTCCCCCCCTCCCTCCCCTCCTCCCTTCCCTCCCCCTTCTCCTTGCTCGAAGCCGGTCTTTTTCAGAGTCAGAAAGATTCCTTTTTTTGGAAATCTGGTAGAAATTTTCAGTAATGTGGGAAAAGTCAAGGTTAGGATGATGGTGGGTGGGGAAGAAGAGGGGGTTGTAGCTGATCAGAAAGTGGGGCGGGGGCGTGCTGAAGTCATTTCACACATCGCGATGCTGCACCCTGTCTGAAGCCTCTAAAATTCCTGCGAAAAAGAATGAACAAAGAAACAATCCAAGAACAAAAATCATGATACGACACTGAAGGTATACAAGGAGTACACTATTAACATTAGCTTCAAGTTCACATTCTTATGCACGTTTCGTTGCCACATCGGAATCCAGCAGGGCAGCACGAGCTCAGCGTAGGACAGCAATTAGCTTTGGTAAACGGGCAGCATCCTGAAAATAACGCTGATCAAGTATCACCCTTTGCTATCTTGGCGTATAGTGCAGTAAGCGAGGTACACGCCTTATCCGTGAGACGAAGTAGGCGTGGCACTTGACCATTGCACGGAATGGATTATGGGATGTTTCAAGTTTGAGACAACTGTCATCGTGTTCTGAGTTGCACCGAAATACGACATAACTGTCGAAATTAAAAGATTCTCCAAGAGCAGCAGCCACCTCCACGTTCAGTTGAAGTGCACAGCCACGCCTACCACATCTTAGGGATTACCAGTGTACTTCATTGGAACGCTTCCAAGGGATATTTTCATTTTCTTGTCCAACACCAGATAAGGTGACAGCCATGTCAACCTGAGGCATCCCACACAAATGGGGCAATCCACCCGTCCCACGCAAATGAAGTGCCTATAGATACAGATATGGCGCTTCAGGGATACAGAGCGTGGATATGATTAGAGATAGCCTTTGCATCGATTAGAGCTCATTATCGTTTAGAGAGATCACTTCATCCATCCCCTGTAACTTCACATTGAGTACGATTCCCTTCAACCCACAAAATTCTAGGAAAGACCGTCAACCTGAGAGGGCACATTACACAAAAGTGTAGAAAATTCCATTTTCAAGAAGAAAATTCCTTGCACCCCCACCCCCCCCCTCTCCAAACAAAATTCGTATCATATCTTAACAACAATCAAGCCCAAAAACTTGGTCCTAACATAGCACCATTGGGCTCTTTCTTTGACAGTGATGGTAGAAGTGCAATATATTCTCTGTGGCTTGTGTAATTCGTAGAACAGTTTTTATCAGGAATATCCTTCCCTCCCGTTCCTTTGCAGCTATGTGACTGGCAATTGTCTATTTGGTTAGGGCAACACTCGAAATCTTCTTGTTGTGTTTCCAGAAACACCTTCGAGAGGCCTATACGTTTCATACTATGAGATACCACCGAGTGGCGCATTCTAAAAGAGACCAACCAGCTTTTCATCATGTCTTCGAAAAATTCAAAAGGATCCACAAAAACCTCTTCGAAAATTATGTGAAGCTTGGCCCAAGAATGTTAACCAACAGAAAAATAGCCAAAAAAATAATACCGTATTGGCCGTTAGGAAATGGGCAGCAAGTTTGATAGTTTTCACATTGCACTGTTCCTTTTTCGTCGCACAAGTTCGGTTCCAAGGAAATCACGGTTCGACTTTGAATGACGAGTTCTGAAATTTAGCGTCTTTGATTCATACACACTCTTCTTATTGCTCTATGAAGACTTACGGAGGAAAAGCACGGCCGTCACAGATGTGAGCATTCCGATCAATACGTTTCCGTGATCTTATCACTTATCAGATTGGTTCTCCGGCGACAGGGAGCAATGCAGGAGCAGAGAGGTCATCTGCGTGAATCACTTCATAACTCCCTTTCTTTGAGTATTTCGAGCCAAATCTCCAATAAGTTCGGCAAGTAGTTGATGCCAATTCTCCAATGAGTTTGGGACAGTAGTTGATCACCATAAGCATAATAATATTACGTGGAGCAGCGTCACAGAAACCTCTAGAGAATTTCTCGGGAATTCGGGAGCTCCAGCCTAATGCCCCATTCCCGAATCGGGACTACGACGCTGTTAGGCGACGGAGGGGGCATTTTGCACTTTAACGACTTCCCATCGACGTGTCGACCCATCTAGACAGCCTCTTCTCGAGTTGACAGGTTTTACCATGATGGCGAGCTTGCTCCAGCTTCACAAGAGTTCACAGGTTTCACCAGAGTGAGACTTGTAAACCAGAACTAGTGAAGCAACGAAAGTGCAAAATGCCCCCCCCCCTCCGTCGGCAAACTGCGGAATACCTTCACATGACTTACACCACTGTGGAGTTCGTCGTTCCTGGTGTGGAACGTCAGCACTTCACACCAGGAACGACGCAAAGTTTCGAGCAATCGTACAGCAGCCCTTTGAGCCTCTTCACACCATCCCGTTTTTA